CGTCGTACGACGCACATCGGATGCAGTGTGAATCCAGCATTTTATTTTGCCACGCGACAAGCGTTTCCGCGTTCAGCAGGGATCGGAAACTCCCACGGAGGAACTGTTACACGATGGCAGTGATAGGTTGCACTTGAAGAGTGCGCTGATGGTGCAATATTCTTAATTTAGCTCTCTGAGGTACACTTTTTCACAGAACTGTGATCAGTTTTGATCAGTTTATATCACATTTGGGGTGATCCCGATTGATCACGGCTCGATTGGACATCACCAATCACAGCGACCGGTATTTAGGAGCTTTGTAGTCTCAAGCGCTGTGAGTGGCTCGTGTCCAATTGAGCCGTGTCCAACTGGGTGCCACCCCTGCAACCGTCCGTTAATTTTCTCAAGTAGCCAAATAATTGAAACAAGGGCCAAATTAATTATAGGTGGACACCCAACAATCGACGAAAGGTCAAACGACCACGGCAGACTGAATCCCCTCTTCTGATTGGTTGCAGTGCGTCGTACGACGCACATCGGATGCAGTGCAAATCCAGCATAACTGCACAAACGAACGCACCCCGTGAGTTCAGACAGTGCAGCTGCAGAAATAACGAACAGATATTAATGATCTCAGTTTACGAAGCAGCTCGGGCTTTTTTGTTGTCAAATCTTTATTTTTATGGGAAAACGCATTGATTAAGTATATTTTTATCATAATTTTCGGTGACCGGGGTATTCTTAACATTTACTATCCGCTTGAAAATTTATTTCTAGATATTAAAATGGTAAGAATAAATGTCACTTTTGTTTATCGAATATCTATCAATCATTTTTCTTTTTTGGTAATTATTTAGAATAACTCCTCATCTCCGATTTTAATGAAATTAGGCTTATTCGACGCGTTTTCACTCGAAAGAATCTGACAGAAAAACGCGGCAGTCGACCTCGTTAATCGAGTTATTAAACGTTAAAGAGAGACTTTAGAGGTTAAGATATCCATTATCTCGATTTAATATAGCGCTATGTACGTTCTGCATTAATTACACAAATTCACTGCTTTAAAAACACAAATTCTCTGCTTCACAAACACAGATTCACTGCTTTACAAACATAAGTTCATTGCTTTAAAAATACAAATTCTCTGCTTCACAAGCAAATTTACTACTTTAAAAAACACAAATTCACTGCTAATGCAAAGAATTTGTGTGTTTAAAGCAGTAAATTTTTTTTAAAGCCAGTGAATTTGTGTTTTTAAAGCAGTGAATGTGTTTTTGAAGCAGTGAATTTGTCTAATTAAAGCAGAACATATACATAGCGCTATATTGAGTCGATAACAGATATTTTAACCTCTAAAGTCTTCAACTTTAATGCTTAATAACTCGATTCACGAGGCCGACCGCCGCGTTTTTCTTCCAGATTCTTTCGTTTTGAACGAAAATGTGTCGAATGAACCGAATTTCATTAAAATCGGAGGTGAAGTAGCTATTCTAAATAATTATCTTTTTAAATAAAATTTACTAAACGTGGCTTAAATTATACGATATATAAATAAAAGAGTAAAAAAGTCACATGCAGGATATTGTTAGCAAAAGTCATATGTTTAAAATTCAATTAAAAACTAATAATAAACATAAACGTTTCGGCCAAGATGTGGCTATCTTCAGTATGTAAAATATGTAAAATAAAGAGGTTAATACAAATTTGAGGCAACGTGTTACAATTAATTACAAAAATGAATGCAGATCATACAATGACAGGTTTTTTTTAGCAAGAGTTGAGCTAATGTCGATTGATTAATTCGTCAAGTTAATCCTCGTGTATTTGGTCTAGTAACGATTGCCATGTATCTCAAAATTTCCAAGTTCTATGATATCGGGCAAAGTTGTGCGAGATGTAATGACGAGGAGAGAGAACATTTTTGTTTGAAACAATTTTAACTTTTTAAAACAATCACCTCTTTTTTTTCAGTATGCTTTAACTCATAAAACAGAAAATGCCCATGAGGATAGTATATGGACTTGCGGATGGGGTTGTCCAAAAAGGAAGAAAGAACATCTGGATAATGAAGATTCACGGTAATTAAACAGTTAAGTTACAATAAATAAAAAAATTATTTTAATGAGACAAGGTTATATTTGACAGTGATTCTGTACAGTCTAATGAAGATGAAACAACAGAATATCTTGTAACAGCTTCTGTGGATGATTCTGTGAAAGTATGGGAACTGAAGGAGGATGCTTTGAAGTTAAAACATAAGTTAACTGGATATTCCTTGGGAGTTGTATCTATAGCTATTAGCTCAGATGGATCAAGTAAACATTGATAAATAGAAATATTGGCTTAAAATGTATTAAATAGCTTAGAATTATGTTTTACCATTAATTTATAGAATGTGCCTCAAGTTCACTTGATTCAAGTCTGAAATTATGGGACTTATATTCTGGTGATAAGTTATTGAGCATTGAAGTTGGTCCAGTAGATATTTGGACTTTAGTCTTTTCTCCAGATGATAAATTCATTGTATCTGGCAGTCATGCTGGTAAAATACATCTATATGGAACTGATAATGGTAAACAAGAACAGACTTTAGATACAAGAGGTGGAAAATTTACATTAAGTGTAGCATATGTAAGTACATTGCATAAAAATCTATGGATGCATTCAAATTGACAAAGCGGCTAGCCTGTTCCCTGATCAAATGAATATAATTGTTACTTATAAATCCAACCAATCATGTACAATTGCTTGGTAAGCATGCTAGCTGTTTTGCCATTTTGAATTCGCCTATAATACATATAACTTATGTATAAGAGGTTGCTTTTCACAGAGTCCTGATGGTAAATATATTGCAAGCGGCGCAATAGATGGTATTATTAATATTTTTGATGTTGCCTATGGAAAAGTTTTACGTACCTTGGAAGGTAGATCCAAATATATTATAACATTACCAAGACATAAAATGTTCTATTTTTAAGTTTATATTATTTAGGTCATGCGATGCCTATCAGATCTTTATGTTTCTCACCCGACTCTCAGTTGCTTCTTACAGCATCTGATGATGGACATATGAAACTATATGATGTGTGAGTAAATTTTATATAAAGTTTATAAATATACAGGATTAATAACATTACTTCATAAGAATAATATGTTACTATTACCATTATTTTTTGTAAAAAGTGACGATAATGGTAAGATAGTAACTTTTTATTAATTTTACTTGGTACTAATTTTATAAAGTAATGATTTGTTACTTCTTTTGTGTAATATTAAAGTAAGATATTAAATTAAAAAATTAATTAACAAATATTGATCATTAAATAATACATTATTTAATGATCAATATTAATCGTAACAATCAATATTAAAACTTAAAACTCTGAGTTGGTCTCTATATAGTAAGCTTTTCATTATATTAAATTTATATCTAATAAATCTTATATAATTTTTTATATTAATGAAATTTAATGCCTTTCAGAACCAGCATAAGTTAACGTGTATATAAATATTTTTTATTAAAGCAGACATTATATATTTACAATAATCGAACCGTTAGTACTTGTATTTGTCAGTTATCAGCGTTTTCATTAAACTGGACAGTTTGATGAACAGTTGTGACAAAAAATTTTTTATTTCGATTAGTTCTTTGGTGGATGTATATTAATTGTTCACATCACTATAGTTGACTAATTTAAAATAATATAATCTCATTGTTGAAGCAGTGAAAAATTACTAGAAATAGGCCGATGTGAGTGGTGTATGGAATTGAACTGTGCAAGTGCGCCGCTCCTCTCTTTGATTAATTTGGAGTTCAATGAATGTTAAGTTAACAAGATTGTGGACTTAATAATCATTTCTGACCAGCTTACTCCAACATATGACCATTTTAACTCTTTTTACACAAATATATCTGACTAATTTAATAATTTTGTCGTTTTATCCACGAATGTAATATTTTTTAAATAGAATATTCTTTCTTATACTGAAGAGGATACAAAACAGGATTTAAACATGCATAATTTGTCTATTTTAATAAAAAGAATATTTTTCACACATTAACAACTTGTGTTGGCTCTAAAAAGCATTTTACTTCAGATTTATTCATTAGAATATGAATTGAATTTAAAAAACAGAAAGAAAAGGGCTACGAGCCTAAGAATAATCGTTAAAAATTAAAAATGTTAATAAATAAACATGCCATTTAGTTAAAATATATAAAACTAATTTGTCGGCAATAAACAACAAAACAAAAACAAACGTTTCGATCCCTATTGGATCATTATCAATGTTAAAATAACAGTGAAATTATTACAAATATATAGAACATATATAAAAATTAAAATTCGCTCTCATGAATTGAATTATTTCTTTATATTAATATTTTTATTTTACATATGCTCATCTTTAGGAAATTAGATTGTAAATTTATGAACGTACATTTTATAAAAATTTTTATTAAACATTTTAAAATATCTATATCGTTATTAATAGCTTTCCAATATTCACTATAAATACTAAAAATTTGTAGTCCATGTTACATATATATGTATACTATAAATTTTGAATATTGACAATGACTATCAGAATGCAGCCTAAGGTGCAAAGTATTCTTCGATATTTAAATTTGTATTATAAAATATGTCTAGCCAATAAAAAATAATACGATCTATTGAATAGTTATAAAGTAATAAGGGATTAAAGGAATATATAATAAGAGAGTAGAGTAAAAATAATGGGTGAATTCGTTTTTGTGAGAATACAATAACGTTACTGTTACCGTTACAGAAAAAAGTAACTATCGTTATCGAAAAAAAGTAACGAAAATGATAACGGTGTTACAAGTTACTTCCCAACTCTGTAAATATATATAGATTTTTTGACACTGTAACTTGACAAATTAGATCGATAAAGGATAAAGCATAAAAGCCAACGCAAGGCGACAATGCAATTATATATTAATTCAATTTAACCTTTAAACAATTATTCAAGGTCAAGTTTAATGTCACCAAAAGATAGTCCCCTTCATGACCCCTACAACTTTTATTTGAGGTCATTTTCCTTGAAAGTACTTTTGAAGATCATAGGAGGGTCTCATTCTTTTCGAATATCCTGTATATTGATAAACATTTCGGTCATATATCTGGCCATCTTCATGTATCACAATTAAGAAACAGATATTAAACGCTACTTACAATGTATTACGTTGTTAACTAATCGTCTACAAATTATTTAATATTAATATACGAATGTCCGTCACGCAAGGATTCTTTGTTCTCTTTGTCTTTTTTTTTTAAATATTGCATCATCGTATGCGAAAATTTATTGTTAAATCTTCGAAATCCACCTTGGTATCTCAGATCCTCACAGACTAAACGACAATTGCAGACTAGAATTAAAGAACACTCAGCAGATATTAATGAATCCTTGGGTGCTTCGTCAGTAATTTCGAGCTATAGATTAGAAATGAATCATAGTTTTGGTTGGGTGGATGTAAGTATTTTGGATAGGGAACCTTTCTATTATAGGAGATTGATTTCTGAAAAGATTTTTATAAAAAGACAAAAAAACGGATTTAATAAGTAAAGACTTCCAGACATATATTTTCCTTTCCTTTATCAACTTACCCCTCTTTAATCATTCCCCTCCTTTTCATTCATCACTTCCTTACTTATTTAGATTACATCATACACACACGCGCGCGCGCTTATATTTTCTCCACTTGCATTGTCGATACATGTCTTCTTAAGAGTTTGTCAGTGTCTTAACACACATAACTTCGTAATATATTTATTGATGTTTCTGTTCGACTCATAGGTACTATTAAAAATAATTTTTCTTATAATTTTAATATACTTTTTGATTTTTTGTCATATTTAATGAGTGATCAATACATAATTCAGATTGTGAATTATATAATTTGTATAGAATTTGGGACTTCTGTGAGGATCTGAGATGCCAGGGTGGATTTCAAAGATTTAACAATAAATTTTCGCATTCAACGATGCGGTATTAAAAAAAAAGAGACAAAGAGAACAAAGAATCCTTGCATGATGGACATTCGTAAATTATTATTAAATAATTTGTAGACGATTAGTTAAGACGTAATACATTGTAAGTAGTGTTTAATATCTGTTTTTTAATTGTGATACTGAAGATGACCAGATACATGTTTATCAATATATATGTAAATTAAATTAATATATAATTGCATTGTCACCTTGCGTTGACTTTTATGCTCCTTTATCGATCAAATTTGACTTGTTCGGAAGCCATTATTTGAAAAGTTTACTATAACTTGAACTGAGTTTTGGCTATGAAAAGAAATGTGATTATATGAACTTTTGTTTCTTCTTAATTTTATTGATTGCAAAGGAACGAGACTATTACCTTTCTGCCCAACCCCCATTTTGTAGAACTGATGTTTGCTTTAATTTTTATTTATTATTATTGTTTGAAAGTTCTTTCCAAGGAATAATGTACTATGATTAATTTATCCCCAATTATCTGGGGAATAAGTTTAAGTCTTTCGAATAACTTGTTTCACAGAGAAATTTCATTCTCTTTCATAAGCAAATTCTTATTAAAAATTGTGTATTGTCATACATGCAAGATGCCAATTAATGGCAATTAAACCCAAATTTTGTTAAACAAGCTATTATTTTAGCAAAGAGCTATCCAGCATCCTTATAGATATTCTAACTTTTTTACTAAACAGAAATCGATAAGTACTTTATATTCTTTTTTTATTTAGCAAAGATGCAAATCTAGCAGGAACGATGTCGGGTCATGCTTCTTGGGTACTTGGTGTGGCTTTCTCACCAGATGGACAGCAATTTGCATCAAGTAGTTCCGATCATACAGTCAAGATCTGGGAATTAGCACAAAGACAATGTTTGCATACATTTCGTGAACATAAGGATCAAGTATGTCTCTTAAACATGAAATAATTTTGTTTTATTCAATCAAATAAAAGTATAATTTGTAATTTTAATAAATTAATTTTTATAATAGGTCTGGTCAGTTAAGTATAATCCACAGCGAAATAATATAATTGCGTCAGTATCTGAGGATAAATCTATTAATTTATACGAATGTCCTATATATGAGAAATAATTATATTAAGGATTAATAAATATTTTTTCTCTATACCGTTTATTCTGTTTATTAATTGCAAACAACTGATGACATTTCTTTCAAGTTTATGAAAGACCGGAGGATATTTTTTAGCTATAAATTTTATTGTACTGCAAGTAGTAATGTACAAACTATAAAGGTCTATGACGAATTTAAAATGTGATATGTAAAAAAATTATTTTTAAAACCTAGAACAAAGTGAAAATGACGTTATAAAAAAGAAATGACATGAATAGCCATGGTGTACACATCACATTTTTAAATGAATAATATAAAGGTACCCTGACATGGTTCCAAGTTGGCAGAGTTAAATTTAATTAACTCGAACTGGAACAGGGTAAAATGTTTACAGAGAAGACTTTTCAATTAAATAAATAAATACGTATAATAAATTCTAGCTCATGTACCAAAAGATCTCCTTCCGATAAGAGTTTGGTAATGATCTGATTCACAAAAGGGAAAATTGATACGATATAAATGATAAGAGATGAAATTAAAAACAAAATTAAAAATGAAAACTTGCAGTTGTGCTCATCTGCATTGAAATCTTTGATGAAAGAAAGAAATATTAAATAATAATTAAACAGATAGTATTTTAATCTTAAATTTATGTCTTATTGACCTGTACATCAGTTTAATAATAAGTACATTTACTTCCGAAAGGGATCGATTTTGATAGACTGCTTATAAGCAAAACTAGTATTTATGTATGATGAAGATAAGGGTGATCCCGATTGACCACGGCTCGATTGCTCGACACCACCAATCACAGCGACCGGTGCTTAGGAGCTTTGTAGTCTCAAGCGTTGTGAGTGGCTCATGTCCAATTGAGCCGTGTCCTGGGTGCCACCCATGAAGATATATTGGCTGTAAACTGGAAACTTAAATATATACTTGTAAAATTTTTTGCTCAGTATTGTAATGTCATTTTTAGTAAACTACTTAGACCGCTTTACGTTCATGGTCGATGTAAACGATATTTCTTCATTACGATTAATTTTCGATCGAAGTTAATTTCATTTATTCCAGGTCTTTCGTTTTACTTATCAGTCTTGATAAAGTAATTATATCTTGTATCTCTATTTGTAAGAGATGGTACGGATCAGTTAATATGAAAGAAATAAAATACAGATTACACCTTATTTCTCTCTGATTTTTCAATTTCAAATACAAAGATGTATCACTAGTAATGTATCACCAGCATATCATGCTACACATCGTACATAATTTTAAACGCGCTACTAAAACTTTTTATATCCTTCACTTATATAACTACGTTTTATAAGACAGCGCGCATAACGGCAATTCAGAGCAATCAGCTAGCCAATCAAATTTGGATCCTAAATTTTGGTCTTACCACATATTGAGGGATAAGACCGCAGCACAGATTCTTGCATAACGCATAATGCATAAGGGAATCAACCAATCAAAATTCTTCTTTTCCATGGAATGGGAGGAAAGGAAAGATTCTGATTAGTTGATTCACTTATGCATTATGCGTTATGCAAAAGTCTATGCTGCGGTCTTGGTCTTATCCCTCAAGTTGTCACACAACGGCCAATCAAGCTGAATCAAATTTGGATCCTAAATTTGATCTTACTGCGCATCCCTCAAGTTATCTTACCTATCTTCTTCCAATATGAAAATTCCTTGATTATTGACTCGTATGAATAAATCAATATGTGTATCAATGCCAAATCGAGTCTAAACACTAGGTGTAATTGTGTGTCAAATTCTTTATTATATTCAAATATACGTTTCGATCCTTGTATCGGATCCTTATCAATATTTCTTCGTTACTAAGTTACATCAATGTGCTCCCTAGAACACTACATTATCAATGTTATTTATCAGTA